AAGACCCAAAATAGCCAAAACAAAGCAATTCTAAGCCAAAATAAAAAGATGGAGACATGACAATACCTGACTTACAATTATACTACAGAGCTATAGTGGCAAAATCTCAGGGAATAATGCCTAGAGTTAATATATGGGGTGGCATCAAATTAAAAAGCTTCTGCACAGCAAGGAAACAATTATGAATGTGAACAAAGAACCTACAGAATGGGAGAAAAATCTTTGCTAGCTACTCTTCCAACAGAGAGTTAGTATCTATACTACACAAAGAAATTTTTAAAATTTAACACCAAAAAAATCAAATAATTCAATAAATGGGCAAATGAACTAAACAGATACTTCTCAAAAGAAGAAATACAAACAGCCAACAAATCTATGAAAAATATGTTTAACATTATTAGCAATAAGAGAAATGCAAATCAAAACTATACTGAGATTTCACCTCACATCATTCAGAATGGCAGTCATCAAGAATACAAACAATAGTAAATGTTGGAGAGAATGTAGAGAAAAAGGCACTTTACATTGTTGGTGAGATTGTAAATTAGTACAACCACTATGAAAATCACTATGGAGTTTCCTCAAAAGACTTAAGAATGGAATCACCATATGACTCAGCTATATCACTCCTCAGTATTTATCCTAAAGAATTGAAGTCACCATTCTATGGTGATATATGCATACCCATGTTTATAGCAGCACAATACGCAAGACCCAAACTTTGGAACCAGCCTAGATGTCAATCAATAAAGAAAATGTAGTTCATATACATATTGGAATTTTATTAAATCATAAATAAAATGAAATTATGTCATTTGGAGGAAAATGGATAAAACCTGGAAAGGTTATGTTAAGCAAAGAGCCAAACTCAGAAGGTCAAGATTTGTATGATCTCATATATGGAAGCTACAGAGGAGAAAAGAAAAGAATAATGAGGAGGAATCTCATAAAAATCCAAGGGATGTCAGTAGAATATAAGAAAGGAACTAGGGGGAAGTAAGAAGGGAGGGAAAGGATAAATACTGGGAATGACATTGGCCAAATTATGTTGCTATATTGTGTACAAGTATAAATATGTAACAAGAAATCCCACCATTATGTAAAACTATAATGCACCAATAAAAAATGTGGAAAAAAATAAATTTAGGAATAGTTTCTTTATCATGACATGTCATGAAGAGAGTAAAAAGACGAAACAAAATACTAAATCACAGTTGCAATACAAATAATTTTCTAGTGACTCATATCCAGCATATAAAGAACTTCCACAATGAAATATAACTCAACTGAAAAATCAGCAAAAGACATGAACAAATACTTCATAAGAAATGATGTCGAAATGACTAATAAACATTTTAAAATACCCAACCTCATTAATTATCAGGGAAATGAAAATTAAAACAACAATGATATATAAATGTGGGGGATAAAATGTGATTCAAATTGAATTCTCACACACAACTAAGTGGTGGGGAAATAAGGCGGTAAAGTGTTTTAGAACACTGCTTGACATTGTAACTATTAAACTGTATGCATGCATATCATATGCCCCAGCAATTATATTACTAAGGTACATTCCAGTGACATTTTATAGAACATGGGTTCAAGAATACTCACAACTACAATATTAATTGCCCCACACTGAAAGTGATCCATTATAAATAATGGAATAGATCAATAAATTATGATATTTCCATGTAATAGAATACTATATGGAAATGAGAATGACTAAACTATAGCTCTACATGTCATCAATGACTCCCACAAATATAATACATTACATATGATTCTACTTACATAATATTCAAAAACAGGCAAAATATATTCCTTATACATGTACACACAAGTAATAATACTATAAAGAAGTACTTGAATATGACTACCATAAAGTTGATGTAAGGATTACATCTAAAGACTAAGGATCACATAAAATGGGGCTTACTGAACTGGGGATAACATAGAGAAGACATCTGAGGGCAAATGATGCTAATTTCTTGACTTAGGTGGTAGTCACATGCGTGTTAATTTGTAATGATTCATTAAATCATGTATTTCCCCTATTTTGCTAAATTTCAAAATTAACAAAATTTTTAAATTTGATCAGTCCTATACCAAAGACACAAAGAACAGTAGATGATAAAAACTCTAGTCACACAGCAGTAGTCTTATCTGATAGAATATGGCAAGGTTCATTTCAAAGCAGACTTTATGACTCTAAACAAGCCTTGTCTTACAGGAACCAGTTGCTTTTTGGATCCACAGATTCTTCAAATGTGTTGCTACTGAGTGAAATTTACTTCTAAGTCAGGAAATATATTCAATACCCTCCAAATTTTGTGACCCCTAGAGCTCCTTTGGACATTGCTCTTCATTTCTTGCTTGAGCTCAGGTTAGGTAGTAAGTGACAACAAATATTCCTGAGTACTTCTGTATATTCCTATTCTCTACCATGTTTTGGTTCATCTCTTTGAGATCTTAAGGAAGTACTAGACAGTGATTTAAATTTTAGTTAAAAACTTGCAACTAGTTACTAGTTCATCTTTTGGTTAACATTAAAAATCACAATGCAAATTAAAACTACACTCAGATTCCATCTCATTCTAGTCAGGATGGCATTTACCAAGAATACAAGTAACAAGAGGTGAACAGAGAGCCTACATTTTGGGAGCAAATTTTTACCACACACATCAGATAAAGCACTAATCTCTAGGATATATAAACAACTCAAAAAACTTAACATCAAAAAAAAACCCAATAAATAAATGGGCCAAGGACCTGAACAGACTCCTCTCAGAAGATGATATACAATCAATCAACAAATATATAAAACAATGTCCAATATCTCTAGTAATTAGAGAAATGCAAATCAAAACTACTCTAAGATTTCATCTCACACCAGTCAAAATAGCAGCTATTAAGAATACAAACAACAATAAGTGTTGGCAAGTATGTGGGGAAAAAAGGTACACTCATACATTGCTGGTGGGACTACAAATTGGTGCAACCAATCTGGAAAGCAGTATGGAGATTCTTAGAAAACTTGGAATGGAACCACCACTTGACTCAGCTATTCCACTCCTTGGTTTTTACCCCAAAGACTTAAAAACAGGGGCTGGGGATGTGGCTCAAGCGGTAGCGCGCTCGCCTGGCATGCGTGCAGCCCGGGTTCGATCCTCAGCACCACATACAAACAAAGATGTTGTGTCTGCCGAAAACTAAAAAATAAATAAATATTAAAAATTCTCTCTCTCCACAATAAAAAATTAAAAAAAAATTCTCTCTCTCTCTTTCTCTCTCTCTCTCTCTCTCCCTTTAAAAATAAAAATAAAAACAGCATACTACAGGGACACAGCCACATCAATGTTTATAGCAGCTCAATTCACAATAGCTAAACTGTGGAACCAACCTAGATGCCCTTCAGTAGATGAATGGAAAACAAAAATGTGATATATATACACAATGGAATACTATTCAGCAATAAAAGAGAATAAAAATCATGGCATTTGCAGGTAAATGGATGGAATTGGAGAATATAATGCTAACTGAAGTTAGCCAATCCCAAAAAACCAAATGCCGAATGTTTTCTCTGATACAAGGAGACTGATTCACAGTGGGATAGGGAAAGGGAGAATGGGAGGAATAGACGAACTCTAGACAGAGCAAAGAGGAGGAAGGAGGAGGGGGGATGGGAGTAGAAAATATGGTGGGTGGAATGAGATGGACATTATTACCCTAAGTACATGTATGAAGACACAAATGGTGTTACTTACTTTGTGTACAGAGATATGAAAAATTGTGCTCTATATGTGTAATATGAATTGTAATGCATCCTGCTGTCATACAAAACAAATTAGAATTTTTAAAAAAACAAATTAGATGAAAATATTGAATCTTTTAATGATTAATTTTGTTAGAAACTTACAATTTAATGAACTTATCTGCAATTACCAAGAGTAATATAATAGATACCCAACTAATGGTTATATTAAAATAAACATTCAATTGTCTAGAAACAGTTGATAATGTATCATTTATTGAATCTTACATTACTCAACATCTAATATTTTCAATTATCGAGTAGATTCTTGTGTTAAGTCGAAGTTTAAATATTAAGGGTATTTTTAAGATTATGTGATTCTGTGAACTGGCTGTGCCAGGAAGTAGTGAGAGCTACCTTTCCCTAAAAATGGTTAACAAATTCCAGAACATTCTATGATCATCTACTGTACAAAAGATTTCAAAAGTAAACAGTTATATTAAAATAACCCTATGATGACTCACAACCTCAAACAACCCAACTGGGGCCATATAGGACCCCAAAGCCCCAGCTCCTCCTGCCTTCCCTTCTCTCTCTCTCTCTCTCTTTCTCTCTCTATCTCTCTCTCTCCCACCACCCCACCCCTTTCTCTCTCTCTCCCTCCTTCCAACATTTCTATAACAATAGGCATGGAATAAAATTATAAAATTTGAATAAAATAAAATTATAATAATATACACAACAGATTTTAAAATGACATCTTGTGGCCCAATTCTTAATACTTTATTAAGAAGACTATTGTCTTTATCTATAATAATGTATAAAAGCATTCAGCAGTTTCCTTGAATTATCTGGAAACTTTCTTATGATAAAATCATAAAAGTTATATGGCCAACATTTGTAGGGCTAAAAATGATGCATGAAAGCTTATTTTTAATTTAAAAAATGAATGATAAATAATAAAAGGCAAGTCTATATTAAAATTATAAAAGATAACAAGTAAAGTTAATGAAAGGACAAAAAGGCTTTCACTCTTAAGTCACTCAATTTGTTAGAAGAAAATAAATAAACTACCAAATACAAAAAAAAGCCAGGTGTCCCCTTTAATAGTAACTGGCTAATAATAAACTGTCTCTGGTTAGACTAACTTAGAGACATATAAAACTAATTAAGAAAAGGAAGATAGTTTATAAACATACATGTCTATGCTTTGATAACTTGTAAATATGGATCAGAGACTTACCTTTAACAAGGGATAGTTGATACTTGCATCCCATATGTTGGTAAAAGGAGCTTCCAAGACAATGGCATCAACTGGGCATCCTTGAAAATAGTAAGATAAAAAAGAAAAAAATAGTAATTCCCCTATTCAAATACCAACTTCCCTAGATAAGGGATCCTCACAGTCTTGTACATGAACTACCTGCTTCAAAATCATTTGCAAGGCTTATTAACAATGCAATTTCCTGGACCCCACACCATGCTCAAGAGTCACAGTGTTGGGGGTAAGGAACAAGAGTGTTCATTTTTAACAAAGTTTCTCCCCACCCTTGAGGTTTTTATGCAGATGATGGTTAAAATCACTACCTTCTTCTAAGAATACAAGATTTTTCAGGGCTTGGACAATTTAAGAAAGCAAAGCACTACAGGGAGACAGAGTATTCTGAAGTCTATTGTTTAAAATGTGCCAGAGACAGATTAGGTTGTTTTGGGCAATATCCCCTCTGCACAATTAGAAAATGTATGGGGAAGACAGTATGTGTATGTGTATGTGCACATTTATATGTTTGAAGGCACATGAGGATTACTGATCAGTGAGAATTTTCAGAGCAAATACCACTGAGAAAAGACAAGAGAGTTTGAGCTGCCTTTCCCCTCAAATCAGCTGAAAGCACTGATGATAGTTGACAGAATAGAAACTAAACAGTACTTTCAGTATTCTCCACAACCAAAAGGGGAAAATGAGAGTTCAGGATCTGACAAAGGGGAAGATCCAAGAACATTTCTCAAGCTTTTGGTTGTTACCTCAAAGAACTACATACTAGGAGAAGAAGAATAATGGACCAGAAATAAACCAGCTTTCATAAAGGCTTAAGCAGAGCTTTGAATCAGCTCAATCTCTGATTGGATTCAAGTATTCTATTAGTAGCACAACTGCCTTTCAGAAGAAAAGTAAATTATTTTTGGAAAAAGACAACATCACCCCAAGTCTTAAATCATCTCTATGATTACCCATAAAAATTACTAGCACTTAATCAAAAATAACTAGACATATGAAAATAAAGAAAAGGGGGTTGGAGGTGTAGCTCAGTGGTAGCATGCTTGCCTAAAATGCATGAAGCCCTAGGTTCAATCTCCAGCAAGGCAAAAAGAAAAAAGAACAAAAGAAAGGGTTTAAAGTAGAGAATTGAGTTTTGGAATTTTGAAACTTGATAGCATTCAGGTAATTAATATTTTTATTGATCCAATATTTTATATATGAAGCAAATTCCAATTTTTTATCTTAAAAAATATTTCTTGGCCCTATTCATAAAGATTCTAATTTGTGAAGGTAGGATCCAGGAAACCTACATTTTTCACAAATGCACTCAATAAATTCTGATACAAGCTATTCTCAAATCACTTTGAGACCAGGTGTAGTGGTACATGTCTATCATCCCAGCAAATTGGGAGGCTGAGGCCACAAGTTTGAGGCCAGCCTCAGCAACTTAGCAAGACCCTAATCAACTTAGCAAGACTCTGTCTCAAGATAAGAAACAAAAAGGGCTGGAGATGTGGCTCAGTGGTAAAGCGCTCTAGGTTCAATCCCTGATATGAAATAAATAAATAAATTGCTTGAAGAAATATTGACATAGCTATTATATAAGAAGGACTGCAGAAACCAAGTCCTGACTATCCTTTCATAATGTCATTTTCCTCTCCTGAAATTTTAATTAACATCACTTCACAAAGAAAATTCATCTTAAGGCATTTTTAATTCTTCCCTTGATATTAATTTGAAATTTCATAGCCCCCAGAGCAACCATTATTTTATATTAAGTAAAGAAAAGAACGTTTGTTACCTGCAAAGAACTGTCCTCAAAAGGACACCATTGGCATCTCTGTGTTCAAAGTGGACACAACAGTTTCTTGATTCTTTCTATTTCCCACCTGAAGCCAATAAATTAAACCATGGAAGCATTTTACATTACCTTTCTCTTCTAACACTTTTGCAGCATTTGTTGCAACTCTGTAAAGCAATGCATATTAGTACATATGTGAAGCAATGACTTAATAGTCAATTAAGTAACACAAAATGCAAAACATCCAGAATGAGTATTTGATGAAACCTCTGAGCTCTCTGACACAAACTTGCACAGGATTTCAAGAGTTTCCACAAGCCCTAAATAAAAATTTTTTTCTTTAAAACTCTCCAGGAGATTCCTGGGAAAGCTGGGAATGGAACCACCATTTGACCCAGCTATTGCCCTTCTCGGACTATTCCCTGAAGACCTTAAAAGAGCGTATTATAGGGATACTGCCACATCGATGTTCATAGCAGCACAATTCACAATAGCTAGACTGTGGAACCAACCCAGATGCCCTTCAATAGATGAATGGATAAAAAAAAATGTGGCATTTATACACCATGGAGTATTACGCAGCACTAAAAAATGACAAAATCATGGAATTTGCAGGGAAATGGATGGCATTAGAGCAGATTATGCTAAGTGAAGCTAGCCAATCCCTAAAAAACAAATGCCAAATGTCTTCTTTGATATAATGAGAGCAACTAAGAACAGAGCAGGGAGGAAGAGCAGGAAGAAGAGATTAACATTAAACAGATACATGAGGTGGGATGGAAAGGGAGAGAAAAGGGAAATTGCATGGTAATGGAGGGAGACCCTCATTGTTATACAAAATTACATATAAGAGGTTGTGAGGGGAATGGGAAAATAAACAAGGAGAGTGGATGGGGTAGAGAGAGAAGATGGGAGGGGAGGGAGGGGGGATAGTAGAGGATAGGAAAGGTAGCAGAATACAACAGTTACTAATATGGCATTATGTAAAAATGTGGATGTGTAACCGATGTGATTCTGCAATCTGTATTTGGGGTAAAAATGGGAGTTCATAACCCACTTGAATCTAATGTATGAAATATGATATGTCAAGAGCTTTGTAATGTTTTGAACAACCAATAAAAAAAATAAAATAAAATATTTAATTTGACACTTCTAAAAAAATAAATAAATAAATAAAACTCTCCAGGAAAGTCCAGAATGAACTTCAGTGTCCTAGATCCATGGAGCTGACAGGACCCTCCCTTGTTTTACAAACAGGCAAACTGAGGTAGCAAGGTCTCTAGCCACTTCTGGAGAAGAAGAGAAACCAGAAAAGAGACCCTATCTCCTAGAGCTCAGTGCCCCTTCCCCTGCTCTTGGCTGCCTTTGATGTGACCCTAAAGCCCCAAGTCCCCACCAAAGGACACATCTTCAGCTCTCACTCACCCTGTGCCCAGAGAGTGGCCCCAGAGACACACAGGAGTGGCACCACATCTTGCCTTGGTCCACTCATAGACACAAATAGCATCCGCAGTCAGTCCCTCCTCCGTGGGCTTCCCCGTTGAGTCCCCAAACCCTGGCAGCAAGCAAAGGCAAGCACAATATCACTATCCCCAAAACAAGCGATCATCAAAAAAGCCTCCTGCTTATTTGGAAATCTTTGAACACTGTTCTTAACACATACCTCTGTAGTCAACAGAGAGAACATGAAAGCCACCATCACTCAGCACCTGGGTAACAAAGAGCTGCCGTCACTTGAAACTGAAGGTGTAAACAGGAAAGGCTCCTTAATAGGTCCATGTCCCTGTTCGTGGTGGTTTAATAGGTGGGGGAAATTTGTACTTTTGAAATCTAGTGTATGTCTTCAAACCTGAGGAACTCAGACTCAGTGGGAAAGATGGAAAGCAACCTCGCAGAGCAAGGTCAGACTGTCAGGGTCACACCTACCAACTGAGTGGCTTTGGCCAAGTTACTGAACTTTTAAGTGTAAAAACATTATTCTGAAAAGTAAAAAACATTACTTTTAGGATTATTGGAGAATTACATGGATGACATATTAAAATACCTGATTGCATGTTGTCTTTTTAAAGAACTCCCTTGAGAAATAAGGACGCTACACAGGTGTAGTAGAGGCAATCAAGCATTAAGAAGATATTTATATTAAATATGATCAGCTAAAGAATTAAATTCAATCAAAATTAGAGATCATGCGAACACATGAAACCACCACCAAGCCCCTCATAGGTCAAGAAGGAAAGAATGTGAAAAAAATAATTTTATATGAAGTGAAACACAATGACAAAGAGACATAAAAAGAATGAATTATTAATGTGCAGACAGTTTTTATTTAACCCTCATGACAGTAAGTTAGATATTATTCTCATTTTACAGATTTTTAGTAACTGAGAGCTGGGCACAGTGGCACATTCATGTAATCCCAGCAGCTCAGGAGGCTGAGGTGGGAAGATCACAAGTTCAAAGCCAGCCTCAGCAACTTAGCAAGTCCCTAGGCAACTTGACAAGACCATCTCAAAATTAAAAAAATGAAAAACTCTGAGAATGTGTTTCAGTGGTTAAATGAGCTCAATCCCAGTACCATAAATTAATTAATTAATTAATTAATTAATTAATTAATTAAAAAACTGAGCACTGGAGAGTTTCAGTAATTTGTTCTATCACCCAGTTTTCAGAGGCAGATCCAAGATTCTGCCTATGTCCAAGTACTGTGCTTCCCCTCCTTCAGCACAGATGTGAGCAGCTAAACCTCACTGAGGACATTTTAAATATAAGTTGAACTAATAATTAGAAATTAAATGGAACTTTTAAATATCAATTCAAATTACAATCCCTCAAGAAAAGCTAACACACGTGGCAGCTAAGCCTTCAGAGAAATGGGAATAATCATGTGTTACTTATGGCACATGTATTTAAGGACCATTTGACAATACAACTCAAGGACAACAAGAGCAGCAAGTCCTTCTCCTAAGAATTTATCTCTAGGAAAATATGCCAAAAAAGAAGGAAAAAGGGATGGGGATATAGTGCCTGCATAACATGTGCAAAACTTTAGGTTTGATCCCCAGTCCCATAAAAAAAAGAAATTTAAAAAAATACATGCTTGAAGTTTTCTGTAGTAATACTATTTAAAATGAATTCAGAAAAAAAAAATCTAGCAATAATGGAGGAGTTAAGTAAACAAAGTTTGTAAATAAATAGGAAGCTTTAAATTGGTTAATTATGATAACTAAAAGCATGGAAGGATATTTACAAAACAGTATTAAAAGAGCACAACATAAACTTGTATTAGATATATAGAGGCAATCATAGTGACATATTTCCTCTTCATATAAAAAGAGAAATAAAGATGGGGAAATACAAATAAATGTGAATAGCTGTACTAAGTGATTGAAGGAACAGAATCGAGGAAGGAAGCAAGCAAACAAGGAAGAATTTAATAAAGACTTGTTTTCTTCCAGGAGAGGTGGCACATGCCTGTAATCCTAGCAGCTTGGGAGAATGAGACAGGAGAATCGCAAGTTCAAAGCCATCCTCAGCAAAAGCGAGGTGCTAAGCAACTCAGTGAGACCCTGCCTCCAAATAAAATACAAAATAGGGCTGGGGATGTGGCTCAGGGGTTGCGTGTCCCTGAGTTCAATCCCAGATACAAAAAAAAAAGATTTGTTTTTTGAAAGAAAGAACCTATCCAAAGTAGAAAAGGGGAGGCTCTGGAAGCCTGGTCCTATTGGGCAATGGTGAAGGCAGCACTTGGTATACAAAAGGTGCCAGGGGAAAAGTCATACCAGCCACTGCCTTCCCCAGCCATCCTAACCATGACAGGGACTAGCCACCTTCTTTTCGTATCTACAACTCTTCTTTCTGGGAACACTGAGGTCATGCAATTCAGCTCTGAGTGGGAGGGGAAAAAAACCCCTCAATTCTGATCATCATCTGCTTCACCGTATCCTAAGTACGAATAGCAAAGGGCCAATGTGGAATAGAAAGCTAACCCACAATGAATAGATATCCTCCTTCCTCTGAAAACTGGGTGACTGAACAAATTACTGAAACTCTCCAGTGCTCAGTTTTTAATCTCACCTAGCACAACCCATTGGCAAGGGTCACCTGTGAGATGCACTGATATGGGTGGAGGTCTGGAAAGGAGTGGAGTTTCCTGACTGCACAGGGAGGGCGGGTGAAGAAGTGCTAGAGATACTGAGGCTGGCAGGATTATACGCCTAGATTACAGGACAGATTATAGGCCAGTTTATAGGCTGGAAAGAACTGAGGAGGAAGCCAGTGTGTGGGAGGAAAGACCAAGCCTCAGGGTCAATAATGGAATAGCAGCCCAGGCACCTGCAACAGAGATTACCTAACTGCAGAGGATCAACAGGCAGCTCGCTGGACCAGTTCTGAGACAGATATGGCTAAGTGGAGAGCCAGCCATGTTCCCACTTGGAAATGCAGGGACTGTCCCAACAAACTGGAGTGAGAAGTGAGGACAGCACAGCGCAGCCACCAGGCTACTCTACAAAACTTTATGTAGGACTAAAGCCAGGGTTTGATGGACTTTTAAAAGAAGACATTCGGAATTTTTGTTCTATACCACTTAAGAGATCCTTATACAAGGAGAAGAAATTTCCCATTTAATACATCTATCCCCTAACCTTCGGCGGGTGGGGCGGGTAGAAAAATCTAAGTGTCTTCTACCTTTTTTTTTTTTTTGAGATGAAGGGAACCAGTGCATGAAAGTGTATGAGGTCCCAGACATCACAACTCACCCTGGGACCTCTCAGGAGATAGCCAGGCTAAGGACCTAAGGAGATCTTATGACTATAGCCCAGAAGAGAATCAATGGGGATATACAGAACTGATGTTTTGAGGCCTCTTCAGGACATGGGGATATAGCATAGTAGTAGAGCTCTGGCCTAGGATGAGCAAGGTCCTGGGTTCAATCCCCAGCACCACCAAGAAAGGAAGAAAGAAAGGAAGGAAGGAAGGAAGGAAGGAGCAAACAAACTTCTGTGAGGCCTCTTCAGACATACCTTTACCAGCTCAAGCCTGTGAGGGGCTGCCCTGTAAAAGGGGTTAGGGAAAAAAAAATAAGAATTATGAATTACGATGATGAGTTCAATAAAAATCACTCAAATGCTGTTGGCATTTCATGCCATTCTTTTTTAGATTAGAGAAATAAACAACTGAGAGCAAGAGAACTGCTTCTTGGTAGCAGAGCCAGCTTAGATGTTTCAGGGAGAGTGATCAATGGCCCTGTTGCTGGACATTTCTCCACACAAAGCATTGGGCGCCCAAGTCTCTCTGAGGTGAGCATCTGATGAAGTACTGATAATCCATCTCCTTTCATTTCTATGCAACTAGACTTATCTCTAGGAATACTTTTAGAAGCTAAAGGGAAGTAAGTTCCAGAAAATTACTTTTCAGAACAAGGGATGATGGAGTCAAGTTGCACTAAATTATAATTTGCCTGTATCCCATCGCCTGTGTCATTGAACACAAGATGAGGTGAAGGAGTGAGGCTCCCTGTCCTGCAAGGACAAAAGATGTTTCTTCCATAAAATAACCATATTGATTATCCTCACACTAACAAAAATGAGTCAAAAGGCAGAGGATTCTTAAAAACCATTTTCTGGCAGCAAGCTGAGACTCTTGGGCAGAAGCCAAGAGGCAGGTGTGGCCAACCCCAGAACCAATGACTCTAGGACAACTGGGGGCAATTTCAGATTCACACAGAGGCACACATGGTAGTATGTTCCCCCTGATCCTTCAAATAAGCACACTGCAGCACCCTGCCCAAGTTTACACTGCACTGAACAATGTCGAAGACTGCCGAATTCCGCAGGAAACCTCAACAAATGTGATTCTGAAATGGACACATCAAGAAAGCCCCTTGAGGAAAGGCAAGTCATGAGAAAAAGACATCACCTGATAGGAAAAAAAGATAGGGAGAAAAAAGACACTCTTGGCAAGCTAGCCAAGAGGCAGATTCCAGGGCTTGTCACTTAGCTGGAAGTTCCCTCCAGAGATGAATGGAGACCAGTGGGCTTCAAGCCTCAGTGCCCCTCCCCAGACCAAAGAGGTGCAGTCATGGCTCATATCCATCACCTAAGGTAATGAGACAGGTCCAGGGACAGCTCTGACAGTACATCAAAGGACAGCCAGTCTTCCTGGAAACGTTCTTCCTTACAAAGCAAGGTAGGGACTAGAGAGTGAGGTGAGGCATGAATATTCTAGACTAGAATTAGTCAGATGGCCCCCAATTCCTGTGGTCAGAATTCCAGATGATTTCTCTTAGGAGTCATACTTTTAATTAACAGGGTTGATGCTAAATAAAGGACTCTCCACTGTAGTTTTCTGAAAAGTCCATTGATGTGGAAATTGATCTTCCTTTCCCTCAGAAAGCATGCCTGACCCCTTTCCAGTCATCCATGGGTTTGTCAACCTAAATAACAATCAGAGAGAGATTCTGCTAAGAGTATTTGGAGAATATCCAGGAATAGCAGAGCCCTGCCGTGGAACTATGTATGCCACAGTAAACTGTGAATGTATTCAAAAAGAATGAGGCAAGGGGAAGTTCTTAAATGCAAAATCAGGAGGATTACGTAAGATATTTTGAAATGATAAGCCTCTGCTACAAGGATTAATAACAAGGGTAGCACCAGTCAGAGATTGAACAGAGAGTTACTGGGCAGATGTCCTTGCACAAGTATTTCTGTGTAAGGTTGAAGTGGGCTTTGTACCAGGCTGTGGTTTTGGCAGAGTGACCTGTGAATAATTCCTATTATCAGGTTATGGGACATAGATGCATGCAAATCTTCATAACCTTCTGGCTTTATTTATTGACTTTGTGGTTCAAACTTGACAAAAAGACTCCATTTTGACTCTGACAACAGGTTCAAGCTATCATTTTGGATATTCTTAAGGAGTAAAGGAACCACTGCCTTCTCTGAAATCAACATCCAGATTTTGGAAGAATCATTCTTTTCTCCATCCCAGTTAAGGATCCATATTATTCTTCTCATAAAACAATTTTCTAAAGAGAAGTCTTTTGCCAGAACACCCTTAGATTTCAAAAAAGGAAAAAAAAATGTGTGAAGACATGCCAGCAGAGTTTAAAAACTGAATCCTGCTTCACTCTCCCACAGCAACACTGAGATGCTCTTAATCTCCTTAAAGAAAAAAAAATGCAAACAGAGGCACTGACCTATGTTCTGCACTGCCATGAAGATAAACAATAATCGGGTTCCCATCGTGAAGGGCTGCTTCATACCAGCAACAGTCCTTCCCCTTGGCATCTTCTCCCCGGCAGCTGGGGACTGTGTGCCTGAAGAGGAAGGAGGTTATCAAAAACATGTACAGAGGGAGGAATTCTCCTTCCTTGCCAAAATCTGAGGCCCTCATTATGGGGCACCTGTGTGTGTGTGTGTTTATATATTTATATTATTTATACATTCATATATTATATTTATATTCTATTCTAGAATATTTTTAAATTTTTACCTGAGTAATATATGCACCAATTAAAATTAAAATATAATACCACAAAACATCTTATAATGAAAATCTTACTGTCCTGACCCACTGGCCCATGAACAAAGGCAACACTTTTAACCATTTACTGTTTAAATTCTCCTGAGTCTTGTACCCATTAAGCTTTCAAGACTCCAGTTCTTAGGTGCAGTCCATTGAAATAACCAAAAACAAATAGAGACAAGTAAAAGATAATAGATACTTGCCATCTGCCATTAGTTTGGCTGAAGAGAAAAAGTTAGAGAGATTTTAAAGGAAAAATCAAGTTATGTAGGAAAGAGAACTTTAACATGAAGCCAAGCTATTCTATCCATGAAATCATGTGACCTTGTGATCATAAATACCTGTGTGGTCCTGTTCCTCCATCTTGCTAAACCAATGAAAGAACCCTAAAAATGCAAATGCTGACACATGACATGTCACAGGGACTTGCAAAACAGGTCAAGAAATGGCAAAGCTTCTGTTCTCTTGATTATTAAGGGACAGGCACCACTGCCTGAGTGAGTTGGTTCTAATGAGGACAACCACCTCACCAAACAGAGGGCCAGAGGGGAAAAAGCAAAGAACAGAAAGATTTCCAAATTCCAACACTGTTAGCTGACCTGTTCCCTGCAGGATAGAAAGAAATCATGTGCACCCATATTGATTCTCAAACATTCTATGATCAGAGGTTTAAACTCAGGAAGAAGCAATATAAAACAGAGCACTGGAAACTTGTCAGCCAAGAATAAGTAGTAGAACCAAACAAGAAAATACTGAGTTAAGCATAACAGAAAAAGGCAATAGAACGTTCCTGGCTTCATCTGACAAATATTTATTGCATGCCCTTCATGTACCAAGAATTAGGCTAATCGATCAGAGCCCACCACCAAAGTCTGTCTTCTCTGCAAGCTGTGGTCTTGTAAGGAAAACAGGCATTAACCAAATAATCACACAAACATTTATTTAATTATGAGAAAAAAAAATGTCTTCATGGACATTACAAGCACAGGCAGCCACCAAAGCACATACTTAAAATGGGGGCTAAGGAAAGACTTTCCTTAAAATTGTCAGTTAAAGCAAAACCCAAAAAAGATGAGTAGACAATTAGCTATGCAAACGGAGGGCCATGCAGGAAGATGAGACAGAATGACATGCTGAGACAAAGCATATCCTGGGGAACTGTGGCTTGACGTGCCTGGAGCAGAAGACATAACAAGGGTGGTGTGGAGTAAGAAGAGGTGCTGAGCCCACAGGCCAAGGGCAACATCTGACCTCACACTCTGAAGCAAAAAATTCTTGAGAAGCAGAATTAATCAGGTCAGATTTCAATGTAAGGAGAAGGTGTTATGGAACGATTCCCAAGGAGCACCAACCCCCACGCAGACAGGTAAGGCAGCATTGCTCCCCTTTGCCCTTCTAACAGGAAAACCTGGTCCATCAAGCATCTCAGTGTCCAATCCATGTACTCACCAGATTCCCAGCATCACTCGGGGTTCAGCCCTTATGTAGAAGTTCACAGTGTGAGGAATCTTTGACTCTGGTTTCTTTAAATCCACAAGAAATGGAGCTTTGTCTGGAAAATAGAAATTATTGACTACAGAATCAATCAAATTCCAAGTCTTTTAATGATAACCAAAAAAAAAAAAAAAAAAACAGGAATGAGTCTTTGTAGGCAAACTGGTTTCTAGGTTGCAAGCCACTAAATGACTTGCAAAGAGTTTTATCAACTAGGGCTAGCCAGCAGACTAGTTGCAAAAAGAAACAAAACCTAAAGCTAGATTTTATAATAGCACCAGCATGGTAGCCCACAATAGAGCAAGAGAGTTTGTCCAATCCTTATCTTTGGCTCTACCTAAAAGCAGAGAAAACCATTCCTCTGATAAGGTAAGAGGGCCCAGAAGGAAACAATGAATATTCTGCCACTGAAGTAAAACCTAATCATTAGCCTAAGTCCAGAAATGATTGAGGTATACCAGGGGGCTGGTCAGTAAGAGCTAGGATTGTTACACTGACTGAAAGTACCCAGAAGACCCTTCCTCTACCTGCTCTCTTCCTTCTCCTTTCCTCCCCCTTTTTCTTTTCTTCCCCCATCCCCTACTTCTCCAAGGCATTCTTATAAGAGAGAAAAGAGAAAAACATAATTCCATGGGCAGTTAGGTATCCATGTCAACAGCTAACTTGAAGACTGAGCTCCCGAATTGAAACCCCAGTCACAAGGCCCGGTCACAAGTGTCTTTGCCTATTCCCAACAGCTTAAAGGATTTATGCTAGCCTCCAAAAATCAATACTGAAAATAGGTTTCAGACTGTTTAAATCTAGCCACAAATTTATAATTTACAAGTCTTTTTCATTATATTATAACATTAAGGACAGTGAGTTCTTTATTTGGGGAAAATTCATGGGAAGTATACACTTACAAAAATTAAAATAAATCAGCATGTCCATCAGAGGAGGGAAAATGTGTTCTTTTAATGGTTTACTAGTAAAGCTGATGTACAGAGCAGCAATTTTTCCTCTGAGTGTTGAACAGGAGTGTGGAAGAGATCTGCAAAATATTGGGAAACACACAAGGTTTTCAAAATCAGTCCAAGTTTGACTTGTTTTGTTTTTTTCTCCCAAAGTTCAAATCAAACTTTAGAGACTAATATTGGGCATTCCAGGTAACTCAGCATTTAAGCAAAATCCTTCACACAACTTCACACACTGTCTAAGCTGGGCCCTGAAGAGGAACCCAGTGAGGAAGACAGAGCCCTGTCTAGTCCCTGAAAAGGCCAGGGCATGACAGGGAAGGAGGGCAAGAGCTGACGAATGCACCAGGGTCAGATTTGTCCTCCGTATTGCCCCATAGAAGGCCAAAACTAGACCCCAAAATCATTAGTAAACAAGATGCAGCCAGCTTAATAGTTTCTGTGTTCAAAAATCACATCACAACGCAGCACTACACATGTTAGCTGTTGTTCCTACTATATAAAGCAGTGAGTGACATCATTAGATCTTCTCTCTTCTGACTGAGTCTTAGGAGGAAAAAAAAATCCAATGAGAGAACACCCCCACTTCTGAGTGACATTCCTGGAGGAGAGGCACCTGTGAGGAGCAGGGTGGGGGGCAGGTGGGTGGGACCTGGAAGAAGTGGGATGAGACCATCGGCGTCTTGCGCATTCTACTGTCCTCTATGACACAAACCATCAATGTGATGATTTGTCCATGGGGGTCACTAATTCCACTCTGTCTTGAATCACATCTCTCATGAAGGTCAAGATGGCCTCCCATTTTTGACAGATGAGGGACACAGGAGGTTAATATTATTATCTGCTTCCAGTTTTTGTCCACATCATCTATTCAATAAATCCTTTTCCTTTTGTGATCTACCAACATTAAGACTGCCCAATGTAGTCATATTGTAAGGTTGGAAAGATAGAAAGCACTCTGTTCAATTGCCCTGATTTTTCTGCTACCCCAGAGGCAGTTTAGAAGATAAGTGTTACCTCTGCTTCACAAATGAGGAGTCTACAAAGCTAAAAGTCCTTCCCAACCTTGCAGGCCAAGGAATGAGTCACACATCCCCAAGTCTGCCTGACCCCTGTGATAACTACAGTGAGCTGTCACTCTCCTGCTGAGTTCAACTTGCCCTTCAGGTAGGCAAAGTGAACCCCAGGAACAAGGCCAGCCTCTGGCATAGTTCTGTTCTTAGAGACTCTTATTTTAGGATCCCCTTCTCCACATCTGCACTCTTGTGCTTTCTTGGGTCCCTGCTTCCTCCCACCTTCTTTCCTCCTTGCTGTTTCTGTGTTCTCAGGAGCCCTCTGATGACAAAGTCACCAAAGAAATACCCTCTAAAATATTAATTCTCCCTCAAGTACTGAAGGGAGAAGATGGATTCCCAGTAGTTCTGAAAGAGTGGAAAAGAAATGGGCTAAGGATAGTAGATGGCTCTTCAAACACATTGCACATGGGAAACTACCTACTCATAAAATCAGCAAGAAATAAATGAAGATGATTGTTTCATAACACTGTAAAATAACCCCCCTGAGGACAGCAGGAAAAAGAGGTCATTGTTCTGATTTTAGAGATAAGAAATCAAAACCTAGGGAAACCACTTTGAGCCACAGATCAAGGCAACATGGGCACAAGGGAACACAGGTTGGCAGAGTTGTGCCTGCTCCCAGTTTGGGCTGCCTCCTGCTTGCTCTTGCCAGATTCCCTGCACTCACTGCTACCCTGCCTGTTAGTCTCCCACTAAGTTATCTTTTGAAGGTAGGCAGGGCAGTCTCCCGCTAAGTTATCTTTTGAAGGTCTGCTTGGGAAGCAGAAGCAGTGGAGGGAAATGTATTTCTTTTTTAAAGGAATAATTCATACACGACCCTTCTCTCAAATAGCTCAAGGCACTTCTGTGAGAAGCACTGCGGGAAAAGAACAGAGTGACCAGATTCCTCAGAGCATCAATAATGCAAAGGCGCTTCTTTTAAGTAGGGGGTTGTCAATTTGACTTCCCCTAGATCAGTGGGGGATCAAAAGTCACCAGTGGCTAATAGACCTTATTTGAGCAGAGGATGCAGTTTCAGCTCAATCTCTGCTACCAGCCAGCCACATCAAAAAAGCTTGGTGCCTTGGTGTTCTTTGTTTGCCCTTTGATCAGTGGTGGCTATAACCATGAAGTATCCCACAGAGGCACAGCACCTAGATGGATAATTCTTACTGGTGAAACCTGGTGGAATCTGAGCTGATAACATTCCTACTCAGAGGTGTCTGCAAACCAGCTTTTGGGAGCCCAAATCCAACCACATTTGGTCAAACAACTATTCCAAATATGAAGACGCTTTGTACATCCTTCCTACCTGCTGATTCATGCAGCCAGCATGTGTGGATCACTGAGTACCAAGATGCATCATCCAAACCAAATCCCACCCCTACCCCTTCACACACACTCAAGTGTATCTTCTTGGTGGAAGTCTCCCAAGACAGATCTTCCCACAGTGACCTTCCCTTTCTTTCCATCCCTCCCACTAATTATAATGGGCCTCAGTTTGACCCTATTTTGTTCTCTGATAGTTTTCTCATTATTAGCCCATCTTCCCCTCACTGTGCCAGGCATGAACCATGTGGTATGTGTGCTTCTTTTACATCTCACCTGTGTAGCACAGAGCCAAGTTCACTAAATATCTGTTGAACCACAGATTGAAGGCTGAAAGGTGTATTTCTTTCATGAGCCATGACTTTTAGAGTTTTGGGGGAGAAAGGGAGGGCTTCATTCTTTTATTCTTTATTTTGAACTACAATTGAAAAGAGATCACTGAGAGTTCTAAAAGAACAGGGTTATTATTATTATTATTATTATTATTATTAGTGTATTTCATTTGTTCCTTGAACCCAGGATATAGGAAAGAGCATCACAGATAGTGATAACCTGTGAGAAGAATGACTAAATTTATCTGCATATTACTAAGCACTCTAGAATGTGACAACTTGGGTGACACAGGCAAATAAGGAAGAAAATAACCTTTGACCTATGCCATCTTCTTTCCTGGGAATGTTTTCCATTTTTTCCAATTTAAAGATCATTTGCAATGGAGACTTACTGTAAAGGACCAACCCACCTTAAGTAGCAATTATGTCAGATGAAATTTTTGAAAAGTAAATAAATAGACTACCACTGAAAATATAATATGATTAAATGTTCTCCTTAAGCCTCTGAAAATGTGACAATAGACCTAGCACTATAAGCAGGGCCAAGCACACAGCAAGTCCTCCATGAATATCTGCTGATTTAAACCTACTTGGCTCCAAGAAACTAAAAGGATTCCAGGTGCCAGAAACAGGTCTATGCCTCGGCCTTAACATGTTTTATGTTAAATCAATAATCTGTTTCGATTAAAAAAAAACCACTGGTACTTTATCCTTTTAGAGATCATCTCTTGAGAGTTATTTTTTATTAATTAGTAATATAAATCATGGGGTCCCTAACTCCCAACTTCCTACTCCATTATCAACAAAAGTAGGTTGTTCTCTAAGAGAATGAAAATGCAGCTTTGAATCTCTACCTAATCAATGCTCTATTAGTATGGACATTAAGTAATCAGCCATTAAGTCTACAGAAAACACAAAAGGGAGAGGTGGCCGATGCCAGCTTTCCTAGAATAACCAAATGAGGTGGGGCAGGAAGCGGAGAGTCCTATGATTGTGAAATTTGAAAAGTACAGACAGAATATTCCAAAGGTGTCCTGCTGAGGTATGGGTTCTGCATACCTCATCAGAGAGAGCCACTCTATGATAACTGCACTAAGCTAGGGAAGGAAGAGAAGAGAAAAGATCCCCAGTGGTCATCATCACATTCCAAAGTGAAGTCTCCTGTGTCTGGATACGATTCTGGGATTTTTTTGTCATCCACACAAATTAAAAAGGAATAGAAAGAAGAAATATAAACAAAAATGCCAATATCTTACCACATCAATAAAACAACAGGAAATATACAAGTCTTCCGTGTCCAGGTCTCCAGCCAATACCTGGTTTCCATGCGAACAAGACTGGTGGTATGTTGCTAATCAATTCCAGTAACTAAAAATTATTATTCAACCCATGGGAAGAAGTTTTATATATATATATATATATATATATATATATATATATATATATATATATATATATCTCTGATATACAGACATTTCCAGATTTAATGTGAGAACTTGGCACAGGCAACACCACTTTGAGATTTCAATGTACTACATAGCTTTAGCATTTGTGGAGGTGTTCTTTAAATGCACACCTGATCATTCACATTGGGGAGCCAGGCAGCAACTTTCTGACCTTTTTCCATCTACACTGACAGTTCCTTGACCTAAGAAGACCAGCAAAGATAATTGCACACAGTATATTCTTATTACCACTACTGTTAGTAGTATCAAAATCCATTTTGTATATTAGTAAAATAGATAAAAGAGATGTTGGTATAGGAACCCGACTTCTATTTCAAATCTCAACTTCAAACCCCCTCCCCTCCTAAAATTTTAAGTTCTGGAGGTCAATTCTGTGAGATTCACTGGCCCAGGTAGGGGGGGGGGGTCAAGACTGAGCATAAGACCATGCCAAGGAGCCCTGGGAACTTGCAGGACTCTGAAAGCCACTGAAGCCCCCTAGTGCCGCAGTGCCTGGCCAGGGGTCCGCGAAGTGGGGCTAGGGTAGGGCTTCTGTGTCAGAACCGGCGGCACGCTCGCCCTGCGCGACCTCTGTCCTGCCATAGGGGCTCCTGTGTCGCTGGCGGGGCGTACTCACCGCAGGTTCCGCAGGACCATGTTCCACCAGGTGGCCACGTAGTCGCAGGCTGGGGGCCCAGGGGCCGCGTCCGCCTCGCAGTCCTGAGAGTTCATCGCGTGCTGTGCTGTGCCCCCAACTGTCGCCACCGCCACCGCCACCGCCTAGGGAATTGCCACTCTGGTCCGCCCCACCCCTGCGGCGCCCACGCCTGCCCTTCTTCGAGGCGCCAGGCGGACGGCGGCGCGGGGTGCTCTGCAGCGTGGTGCTGCGGGAGGTGCTGGACCCGCCGCAGGAGCCAGGGGCCGCCTGCGAGTGGGCTTCTGCCTGGCACAGCGTGCTCCCTGCTTCCCCCATACATACACAGATAGATGTTCAATAGAAACAAAAAGTATCCTAAGTGAAGCTATGCAGCATTTCATTTTTATTTGATTCCCATTATACCTCCATGTGCACCCAGGAGCAAGAGGCCTGCGTGAAGTAATATTATGGCAGAACTCAAACAAACATTTAATAGGCACAGAGTAAAAAGATCTTCATATCATTACTGTAGCAAGAATTTCTTTGGCATCCTTTGGTTGAGCAATGTTTGATCTGTCCATTGGGTTATGAACTACAGTTATTCCAGTATCCAAAGATGAAATCTTTTGGTTGTTTTGTTTATTTAGCATTATAAAACAGAACCCCATTTTTGTTCACACCTTGTAATGGTTGGCACCTGGTACAGACTTGCATTGCATAATTTTCTCCTAGAAGCTGGGATTATGAGTCTACCAGAACTGCTCCAGGGAAGCCACAGGGCGCAAGTGTGGAGATAAAAGGGAAGAAAAGGGATGCAATTTGATGCCAGCCAGCATCAAGGCTTTGTCTTGGATGAAGACGCATCCTTGGTGCAGCATCACCAGAGGTGAAGTGTAATTTTCTGTGGTGCCTGCTCTGTTTGGGCAGAGGACAGAGCAGGAGACTGCTAGCCCCCAGAAGGTGGGTGCATAGGGACCCATCTGCTAGAGGATAATTGGACAATGTGGAGGAAAAGACACAATTTTCAAGAAGTGTTCTTTTTGAGAACTAGACCATTTCATAGAACTGGCCAGACAGAAGGAGATTGTGTTCACTGCCTCTTACAACCCTTCGGGGAATGTTTGTTTCCTGATTCGCATCAAGACAGAACAAGATCCATGAAGAAGGACCAATGGAATCTCAGCCTGATTGATGAGGCAGCTGCAAGTGAGTTTTCACAGGGCTACTCCCTGCATGATGAGAAAGGTTCAAGCAGATGTCTGATTCCACTCCAGGAGTTGGTTATAAAGATGGTCTGGAATCTCACAGAACTTGTTCAGGAGAGCTCTGGATAAGACTCTAGGCCTTTCTTGCCTTATGAAAATGAAGGGACCAGAGGTAGCTAGCAGAGGGAAAAGAGAAAAGCAGCCAGAATGGCCCCAGATTCTATTTCCATCTGTTTAGATTGAGAGAATAGAAGCCTGTCTGCTAATTGAGGCCACAAAGTTGTCAACATAAGCCCAATTTCTAGGGACACCTTGAAATGATCAACCAAATCTTGGAAGCTGAAAATCACTTTCTGCCATTTTTTATAACATCATGAGAATTAAGGATCAGGAAGAGGCTTTCCCACCATAGGTAGTTTCTTTGGGGTGGAAAAGGGAAAATCAGAGAGCAGTCTCCAACATGATTGGGCAGAATCTAAGAAAAAAAAAGTTCATTCATTTATTAAGCACCTATAGACAGAGTGTCTTTTAAATGTCAGGTACCATATTGGACTCCCTAGGAGGATACACACCAGGATCCCATCTGTAGAGAGACTAACCTTAGAATGAAGCGTGAACTAGGTTTGATTCCACATGCCTGTAATCCCAGTCACTCTGGAAGCTGGGACAAGAGGATCACAAATTCAAGGCCAGCCTCAGCAACTTAGGGAGACTCTCAGCAACTTGGTGGGAGCCTGTCTCATGATAAAAAAGAAGGACTGGGGATGTGGCGCAGTGTCAAAAAACAAACAAACAAACAGGAGAAAAGTGCCCTAAGGAAATCCAATCAGGGACTGGAGATGGAAAAGGGGAGTTAACTACAATAGAGTATGCCAGAACATTTTAGGGTAATGGAAACTGTCTTAGGCTCTGCAGTGGTTACATGACTATAAATGCTCACTGAAATTCACGAAACTGGAAATTTTTCAAGGGTGAAATGGCTGAATATGAATTTTATATCAACAAACCTGACTTTGTTTTAGTGATGCTGGGGATCAAATGCTAGGGATTGAACCCAGATCCTCACACATGCTAGGTGAACACTCTACCACTGAACTGTACTTCCAGCCCACACCTGACATTTAGAAAAGTGACCTAAGAAACATACAGTTAAACCAGGTGCAGTGGCATACACCTATATTCCCAGTGACTTGAGAGGCTGAGGCAAGAGGATCCCAAGTTGAAAGTCAGCCTCAGCAACTTATGCCCTAAGCAACTTAGTGAGACCCTATCTCAAAATAAAAAAAAATAATAAAAAGGATTGTTAATGTAGCTCAGTGGTTAAACATCCAAAACAACCATAGATTCAATCTCTGATACAAAAAAAAGGAAAGAAAGAAAAGAAATACACAGATAAACTACATAAATGAGCGTATCCTATGCTACACTGTGTAAATGTTTAAACAAAGTCACTGGCACAAATATATCAGAAATCAAGAGTTTAGCTGTTATTTGAACTAGTAGGAAAAAAATCTCAATTGGAAATAGGTTAATTTTGCCACCTAAAATTATTCTGTAATAAAAGAAATGGAGGATAAGAGTGATGGTCTCTCAGCTGCCACACAGCTGTGGAGGTAAACAGCTGGTGACAAAGCATTTGGACTGAAGAACCAGAAAACGACAAATTGCTAATTTTCTGTTACTTGGAGAATAATAATAGAAAATTTCTATCTATCCCCCTTGCATTTTCTTTTCCTTTGAATTCAGTTTTGCTGAGACACAATTCACATACCAAAAAATTTATCCTTTTTTGAGTATAAAACTCAGTAGTTTTACTATATTCAGGGCTGTGCATCCATCATTGTATTTAATTTTAGAACATTTTCATCACCACAAAAAAAAAAAAAAAAACCATGCCCATTAGCAGTTACTCACCATGATTCCCTTTTGTCTGCCCTGAGCAACCACTAATCTACCTTCTCTCTCTGTGGATTTGCCTATTCTGGATATTCTATATAAATGGAATCACACAATTTGTGGTCTTTCCTGTCTGAATTTTTTTCCCTTAGCATATTTTCAAGGTTTAACCATGTGTAACACTCCAATCCTTTTATGACTGAATATGGCCATTTGGCTTACCCATTCACCTGCTGATGAACATTTGAGTTGTTTCTACATTTTGCCTATTATAATGCTGCTGTAAGTGTACAGGTTTTGTATGGACATACATTTTCATTTCTTTTGAACACATAACTAGTAGTGAAATTTCTGGTTCATACGGGCAAATTTGTGTTAAATTTTTGAGGAGTTGCTAAAATGTTTTCCAAAATGGCTGCACTGTTATATAGCCCCACCGTGTAACGTGTGAACTACTGTCTTGCCTTTCCCCTTGTTCTGCTTTTCACCCTATCTGAGCTTCCCATGCACAAATAGGAAAAGAAAAAAAGGATCTGATGCTGTTGAGATTATACTGAAACATTTAAAATAAGTTTAAGAATAGTCATAGAAGATAGAGAATGACTCATTCGGAACATTTCTTTTTCTGTGTTAAGTTTTTTATTGTCCTTGGCCTATATCAGGCCAAATTAAGACTGTTTACTCTTTTTTTTTTTGCATATAACTTTTTATTCTTGTACAACATGAAAAATCAATTTATTTTTTATTTGCTCTTATTAATTATACATGACAGTATAATGTATTTTGACATATGGAGTATAACTTCCCATTCTTCTGGTTGTACATGATGTGAAGACCATTCTACTCTAAGAAAGAATGTTAGATTATTCTTGTGTGCATTTGAGAATGTTAATATGGCTTCCTTTTAGCAAAAAAAAAAAAGTGATTTCTTTGAGAAGAACAAGTGATGAGATCATGGGTTTCTTTCAGTTAATACTGAAAGGGCTCAAAAGTCCTCTTTCTTCTGAAGAAGCCTCTACATTCCAAGGCATGGCCCATGGCTTCCCTTGCTATTCCTCGGTAACGGATGGGACTCAGTTTTTCTAATATCAGTAGAAGGACTGAGCCAGGATTAAAACCCAGGGTTACCATCTCCTCTTACCTTTCTAGTTGCTCTTTTTCAAAGGTCCTCCTGCTATTCCTTAGAAGTTAGTTATTCTGGGGCTGTGGTGTAGCTCAGGGGCACAGTGTGCCCTTAGCATGCACAAGGCCCTGGGGTCCATCCTCAGCACATGCACATGTGTGCGTGTGCACACACACATATGCACACACACATACATACACACACTAGTTATTCTCCAGGGTTCCTTTCTAGCCCTGCCTCTTTTCTTGCATTATTTATACCAGGATTTCTAAAACCATGTTTATTCATTTGGGGTGTTGTGGGATGAATACAGTAAAATATGCTCCTTTGGCTAGGACTTCAGTCTCAAAATCTTCACTTACCTAGTATTCTTTGAGAATCACCAACAGGGAATTATAGAATGAAACATTTTTCTAAATTCTTTTTCTCTCCCTACTCCTCCAAACTTGTTCCACTTGCAGAATGCCCCATCTTGAAGAATAACTTCATCATACATAGAGTTTCCTAAACTAATAACTTGCTCTTCATCCTGATTCTTCTGTTTCCTATAAATCCAGCATTTCCTCTAGATAGAATTGCTATTATATCTTAATGTACTATTTCTTTGAAAAATATTTACCAAGCACTTTATACATAGTATCTAACTTGGAATCTCACACTCTAGTTGCACAGAAAGGACTTACAGATGTGAAAAGCTACACAACAACCTATGAGTTATCACTAGGTAATAAATAAACATGTTACAAATAATACATATTACCACAGGCTCAATATGAAACACCTCTGAAGGCTGAAGAGGTCAGGTAAGGATCCCAGGAAGGAACCGTTCTGTTGCTTAGAAACAGCCTCAGAGATAGAAGATAATTCAAAATGGCTTTCCTAAGAGACCTACAGAATGTCAAAATTGGAAGATATACAAGCAATCATTTACTCTTGTC